AAGCACTCAGCACAATGTCCACTCTGAGGTTTACGTATCCTCTGAATGTATATATTTATTTTGTCTTTGTCAGTCTGTGTGTACCTCATGAATTATAAATGACTTATTTACAAAGCAGCACCATTAAGTCATGAATATGTGCACAAAATAATAGTGTTGACTCGACACGGTGCAGAGGAAACATATTGTTAGATTCACTGCTCAAAGAGTCGCTGAGAAGTCTGATCCTCCCATTACCCCGTCAAAATAAAACCATATACAGTATGATATTGTTGTTACTGTAATTAAACAATAATGTCTTAATAATATAATAACAATAAACATGAATTATGACTTACATTCTCCACTATTGAATACATTAAGTTAACAGTAAGTATAAAGAAATATTTAAAAGAATAAATTAAACTAAATTATTCCACTTTATTTGTTTACACTTTTTGCATAAAGTATCTGTCCTTGCACAATTTGTCACATAGTTAAACAAATGTTTCTTTCTTAGCTTGTAATCTTGCAAAACTCTTATGATACATTGGTGTAAATATAACTTTTTATGTTTTATTCCCCTATGCATCTGCATTTCAGAATGTTTTTGTAATTATATATACTGCTTCTGCTCTGAGACAGTACTGTTGTGATAAATATTTGCCAAACAGTTTCTACCCTGTATCTCTAGATGTTAACCAATAACGTAAAGTTTCAATGAACAGCCTGAGCTGTTTTTCAGTTCAGTCTATGAAGCGAGTCTGCCTTTAATTGGGACAGGCAGCAACATGAGACGGGCCTTTAATTATTTTAAAACAAATATCAAACATGGAAGAGAGACTCTAAAATTGTAAATTTACACAAGAAATAATATTTTACTGTGAACAAAGTTGGATATCAATAAACAAATAAAATTACAAATCAAGAATCAAAAGATTTTGCTTTTCAGACAGACGCTCACCTGCTGTGCGGCTGGTACACACACGAGCGTCAGATGTTAAAGTTAATCTTTATTTTGTGTCTTTCAGTTAATCTTTAATTATTGTGTCTTTCTGTTTTTATTTTTTAAAACTAATTAACACTAAATTAACAGTGGCCTCTAACTGAAGCCTGCCTTTGTTTTAAAAAACATGCAGCTACACGAGGCTAGTAAAGGGTCTTAAATATTATTAGAAGTTTTACAGAATTTAAATTTCTAAATAAACTGAAGAATTTAACTTTCTTTTGAAGGTGTTAAGACTTCCCTTCAGAAAGTACACTTTGCCCTAAATAAGCAGAAAAAGATTATTTGAAGATGTCATGTTTAAGTCTCTTGTTTCATGATACATTTTGTGTTCAGTCATCAGTAACAACTTTTTTTTTTGTAACAAATTCCTAACTTAAATTAAATGTTACATCTCAAATATTTTCTTCTGAGAGATCACAGTTGTGCTGGGGATCTTGTCATAAGGACACGCTGACAAAGATCTGTTCAAACAACATTTATAACCAACAGTATTAATTAAAATGTGAACTGTCCAAAATCATGCAAACCTGAAATAATGACTTTAAAAACTGCATTTCCCCGATTAAAGCAGATATGTAGGAAAGCTTCCAGTGTCCAGCTAAAAAGTCTGCTGTGTTAAAGTGTCAGGATGGGGCTGAATAGAGACATACTGTAGTGAATCAAGCTAAAAAAAGACTTCTATTACCTCATTCGACTTTTCCAGACTTTGTCAAGCTGCCACAGTTTGATTAGAAACAAAAATAAAAGGTGAGAAACATTATCTGAATCTATTTAGAGAAAAACACAGCAAGACAGTTTTCAAATGTGTCCTCTACATATGACCTTATTTTAAAGTAACGATTAATTAAGGAGTTTTTTTATTGAAACATGTATTGTGTGTGTGTTGTAAAAGGGAGGGTGAATATCCCATTGCTATGACAGGCTGTTAAATAGGAACACACGCTGTTTCCTCACAGCGTGAAATGTGTCAAGTCTTCAAAACAGTCGGTGTGAAGCTTAAATGTGGAAATCAAAGTATTTGAGGAGACTACTTATTGTCAGTTTCAGATTTGACTTGACATAAAATATTTACTTAAAAAAAAACTTGCTATCCTTCTGCTGGTGCTCAGCTCTCCTCGTGCACTCTGCTGTCACAACGGTACTTTTACTTGTTTGATGCCTTTGTTAAACAAACGCCTCCTTGTAAAAAACCGAGCAGACATCTGGTTATACATGACTTAAAAATCTGCTTCATTCTTTTCTCCTACCTTGATTTCACACATCGTTTTTTGGTTTACGCAACAAATAGAGCAACACAAATATAAAAAAAACACCTCAAGTTGACTGAGGCCTAATCCCTGATCACATGATTTATTTTTTTGCCAGAGAGGAAGCTTCTATCTCACTCCCCAGAAGTCATTTTATTTCCTTGACGAGGATTTCCGACCAGTCTTCAGGATGTTAAATACACATAATGCTTGGCTTTAACGTTATTGCACCTTTTTTTTTTAAACAAGCACGGTGGCATCAAGTTGAACCGAGAGCTTTGGGCTTATTAAACAGTTTGCTTTTTTAAATAAAGAGTTCCCTTCCTCTTAGAGCGTGAAAATCACATTTCAGGTAGAACAGTGACAGGTCAATCCAATAAACTGCAGGTGCTGATGGATTTGCACACCTCTTTTTTTTTGCCATTGTATCAAATAAAATGCCTTAAAATAGTGGAACTGGAAGATGTTTTTTTGTTTTGTTTGGGGAAAAACCCCCTCAGAGAAGTGTAAAAATAATAAAGAAGAAAACTAAAGAGTACCTATAGCAGCAGCCAGAGTGAGCTGACAAGGCGTCCCCCCAGAGACGGCTTCTCGCTCAGCGCTCGCCGATTGTTTACTTGATGAAATATAGTCATGGAATTACAACACTGCCAGCTATACACATGCATTGTTCCAAGGTTGTTCACAAAGACTCCATTATTATAGATTCACACATCGATTTGAAAGCCGCTAAATGAATTTGTATTGTTGCTACTTGACGATAGAAGCAAATGTTGACAATAAAGTGCTTAAATGTTTAAATCCATCTGCATTGTCTGCCGCTCCCTCATGATGTGGACCTGCTGTAAGGCGATAAGAAACCGCTCTTGTCGCGATCAGCTTTGAGCTCAGTTTGCAGTCGACCACGGGGTGTCAGGAGGAGGAGAGGACACGGACAGCGCCGAGGAGAGGAGGGTAAACAGTTGCAGATACAGAGCTCTATCGCCGCCGCTCTCACTGAAGTCAATCAGGGGACAGTGGAGATGGTCGGTGGTGATGGGGACGGGATTCTGCGGCGTCATGGGGACATGGCCGCGGCTGATAATTGGGCGTGGGACTCGGTGGCTACACAGCAACACGGCCTTAGTAATGAGATTAATGATGTTGTGTTAGGTCTTGTTTCACCAAGGAGAGGATTATCTCCTAACATCCCTCCTAAGGTGAAGGAAAGGACAATTACTCAGACACAGATTCATCAGAGCCATTCGCTATTCAGGCTGAGCTCGAAATGATGTTTCAGAGCCGGGTCAGGGCTCATTCCCACAGAAAAAAAAAAGCAATTTACTCAAAAACTCAGCGACGAGCATTAAGGAAGTCAAAGTCAATTGTTTTCAACCTGAGTGTAGCATAGTGAGTGTTATGGTGCTGCAAAGTTCACACTGACTCCTGATCAAACACCGCAGGGTGAATATAAAAATGCTTCTTCTCGTACGTGAGCGACCACGGCGAGTAATGACAGTTGTCTTTGTCAGAGATGACTCCTAGATTAATTTTGTTGAGCTCTGCCCTCTCTGAACACAGGAAAAAAATATTCATTACAAAAGGATCTTCGGGCCATCTGAGGCGGCTGCTCAAATGACGCACCACTTCTCAAGTGAATCTCGGTATGATTGCTTCCAGACTACATGCTGATGTCTTTCATGTTTGTTAAGATGAATCCGAAGAAATCCAAGGAAGGGAAGTTAAGTGTATTGAGAGGGTGGAAGCAGTTTATTTAAGGCCCTGCACTCCTTTCACTGGTTAAAGCTTCCTCCTGTTCCACTCGGTTTTTTTCCTGCAAAATTAAAGTTTGTGTCACTTTCGTGGGGGAACATTCAGCAGGAACATCAACAGAAAGCTGAAGAATGACGCAAATGAAGCAATGTTTTCTGAATCACGCAGAGAGAAGGCAATATTAGTATTCATTTTGTATTCACTCTGTTTTTTCACACAAACAGAGTAAGTTCAATATTCACTCCCTTTTTAAAAAAAACATATGAAGCCTAGCTTGTTTGCTGCTTTAGGGCCTGGCAGCGCCCACAACATAGCGCTTCTCACCAGCGCTCGTTGTTGCTAGGTTACTAAAGGTAACTACTGCTTCCCTTGGTGTTGTAGTTATTCTTTTAGATGAGCAGTCGTGTCCTGGCATCAGCAGCAGCTCTACGCTTGGAAATGATTCCCTCGAAAAGCCGAGTCACACTAGCGTCTCCTCCGCCATGTTGTTGACAAAACTGATATCGGAAGTCCCTCCTCTTCTTGATTCTGATTTGTCGGTGAGCGAGAAGTGACATTCTTCTTCGGACTGAGAGCGCTGTGGACGCAGCGCCGAAACAACAGCTTGAGGACACTTCAGCGCTTAAGGACTGTGAGCGCTGAAAACGTTGAACTACAGTACATTGGTTTTGTATTTAATAAGGGGTGCTGCCAACACAAATAATTCTGGATGTGGACACAGGCCATTATATCTGACTTTAAATCCCAGATAGGTTATTTTGATCACTGATCTGCAGGTACTGCACAGTTGATGAGAATGGATCCAGGAAACCAAACCACTGAGCCAACAGGATGACATTTGTATGTGGGTTTTTCTCTAACACATTACATTTAGTTATTTGACTCACCGGTGCAACTTCAAACCAACGTGATCAAGTCGTGCATTTAACTCCCATCAAGTTTAAAGTTTGCATGAATTAAATGTTGGGTAACATCAGCTCTGAATCTTTTTAGAAACAGACAGAAAATCACTGTTGCAGTCACACACAGACAAACGTTCCTTTATTGTGTAATTATGGACAGTTTGCACATTTATCATTAGCAACAAGGATGATTCATCAACTGTAATAAAACCTCTCAGAGTTGTATTATTTGGAAAACAAACAAGAATGAATAAATAATGACATGTGAATAAATCCGGTTGTTTTTTTTTTCTTCCTTCCAGTGACTGAACTTGCCGTATACATTATAAATCAATTCATCTAGCAAAAACATATGCTAACTTTATAAAATATGGGTTTTCAGTTCAAGTCCAGTGTCTTTAAAAGCATCCTAAAGAAAACAAAGAAATCTTTGAAACCAGCAGTGAAATGCCACTATGATACATATTCAAGAGATATCATGAGGTTCTTCTCTAATAAAAACTGACATCAATCATCTAGAGGAAAACCTACCGAGGTGCACAAGAAAAGACATTCTCTTGATGGCACAGAGGGGGGAGAAATCAGGGCTGGTTACGTACTTTTCAGAGCGTTTAGATATAAACATTCTACTTACATGTTCTTCTTCACTTTTCACCAAAACTGAGGCAAACGGTGCCATCACATTTAATCAGAAGTAACACTTTATTTTACAGTCTGCGTAGCTTATTTGTACTTTGTATTCCCAGGAGGCTCCCCGGGGATGTTTAGAAATATTGCACATGAATGGAATAAGCGCTGATGTCGTTCCCATAACATCCACCGCACTAAACAAGCTTCTGCACCGGTTTGTTCATAAATGCCAAGAGTAGGAAGGCTTTCAGGTGTAACACACCTTCCCAGCATTACATTAGGCCAATTAGAAGAGCTGGTGGAAAGGGCAGCTCGGGGATAGTGGACGAGCAACCCTAATGAACGTCTCATTTTGGTTGAAACTTAAAAAGCACATTATAGTTATATTTAATAATTCAGGATTTCTTAGGATTAACATCTAATGGAACTTTGAGGAAGTATAACATTTTGGATAACAGGTTAAGTCATGGGCTACATTATAAAAAGAAATCATGATCTGTTAAATTTTAACAAGTTTTTCTGGGCATGATTTTGTCACAACAAGTATTAGTTTCAGCTAACAGTTGTTGCTAAGTGGGTCGGTTGCAGCCATGTCGTACGCTTCAGATAATCATTTCTAACAGGCATTGTTTAGCAATGAAACAGAACTTCAGGTCATTGATGTTCTGTCCAAAAACGTATCGACTGGTTTGAGATTGAGATATTTTAACAGCCGTTAGCCAACAAACCTTCTGCTCAGCTAATGAACCTGCTGTATGCTACATTTAGCTTACACTCTACATCATGTAGTTAGTTAGCGAGTTAGCATATACTTGGCTGTTAATAGCAGCTGCTTTGCTTGATGAACTTGTGTTAGCTACCATGCTAACAAAGAAAAAAAGATAAACTTATATTAATTTAGGTAATGAAATATTTACATTCTCGATGGTTTGGAGATTTCAAATGCACTTCAAGAATGCCTCAAAATACAAAATTAATACGTTATTCGGAAAGTGAAAGTAATTCAGGAAAAAACTGTAGGCTAGCACATTTTGGGGTATGTTGTAATGTATCAAGGAACAATGTTGTTTTCCTTCTTTGTGCGTTTATTCTATTTCTGGTAGTTTCAGGTGAATTTGAATTCATTTGACGGAATAATTAAAGCTCAGTGTTTACTGATGTTCAAGCTTTTTTTCTTTACCATTGCTAAGTTTCCTCAGATTGTGATGTAACTGTAACAGTTTGCATGTAACTTGAGTCCCATGATGATAAGCAGTCAGGTATACTAAGTGATACGCTAATCCTGTGGTTCCCAGCCTTTTACCTTAGAGCCCCCCTATGAAGGGCTAGCGATACTATGCTGTCAAAAACTAACCTACACTTTAATTCTTTTCACTGATTTATTCAGAATAGGCAACACACATCTTCTACCGAAAGACCTTTGCATAAACTTCCTAGCATGTTTTTTTTTTTTTTTTTAAATCATAATTTTAATTAATATGTGCAAATCTAATTTTAACAGAGCTTCGCGCCCCCTCTGAGATCTCTGGTGCTCCCCTAGGGGGGCCCAGACCCCATGCTGGGAACCAATGCACTAATCACTTTAGATCATTCTTAAAGTCAACTTTAAACCTTACACTCATTTAGGTTTGCTTTGCTAGAAGTGTACTGAATAAATCAAATATATTTTCTATATTTCAAAAAGATGTTAATTGCATTAAAAGAAGCATTGCATATGAAATAAATGTTAAAACATGAATGTCCAAATATATTAGAAATGCACCAGATGCAGGATCTATTAAAATATCTTAAATCATATTTTGTATTCCCTTTCAAATGTATTTGTATAATTTAAATATATTTTTGTTTTCAGTTTATTGTCACTGCAGAACAGAAATATTGGAAAGAAATCTCATGAGCAAGCTACTAATAAATATTAGATATCTCTGACTCATTTTAGTTTTTATACTGTTAATAATGTTTAAAACTAATTCTCTAACGGACCGACATTGTGGCTCCAGTTGTGGCTGAGAGGAGATTTGTGACACAACAGGAAAGCCTCTCAAACACAGAGAGATTGTAGAATAAAGTGCACTGTAACTGAATCATACACATCTTCCAAAGTACAGTAGTTGTGCGCCGCGCGGCTTCAAACTGGGCAGAGGGCTCCACGGCTCTCCTACAGGAAAATTCATCAAGGTTGGGCGCTGCGGAGAAATGTGCCTGTTATTGGTATTAATAGCCTTGGGTGAAATAGGTCTTCTCCACTGTGGAGATGATCTGGCAACTCAGGTGAGCCCTATCTCACTTTTCTCCACTTTGAGACACAGACTCGAGCCTCGGTGTGGGCATCGCTGTCCTCGAGCGTTTGCTGCAGGAAAGGCAGCGTGTGTCTTCAGAACATTTGAAAACAACCCCCCATCCCCAGCCACCACATCACACTTGATATTGCTCGTTCACTAAATCATATTTCTCTGATAAATTCATGATTGATAAATTATCTTCTCTTTGTAGGCAATAAAATGAAAATAATTTGTGGTAATTAAGGCAGTCTTTCCATGTACAAACGAGACAATTGAACTCAGAAAATGTAACCAGATAGGAAAAGAATTGAAAGGTTGGACTTGTCCCATTGAAGTCGTGTTTGCCTTCTCCAAAGTTTATTGTACCTTTCAAGTTTTGCTCTCCAATTTCTTGAGGAAAAAACGTCTTGTAAAGTTCCCATATATTCACTTTTCCTGTTAAACAGATCATCTTAAAATCCCACAGAGTCCCTCTAGACCTTACAGAAGCCTTGGTTTTAGATTTCAGCAGAAAGAAACCTCAGATGTGGAGTTATACGTGCACCGATGGCACGCTCTTGTTGAGTACCTGCGCCCTCATCAGCTGAACGCTGGTCATGATCTTCTTCTGGTGGCCCATCAGCGTCACCCCGAGCCTCTGGATGTCCCTGAAATTGAAAATAAGGATCAATCTGTGTAGAACATGCGCAAATTCTCAAATAAAGGCCGAGCTCTCATTCACCTCAAAGTAGAGAGGACAACCCGGAAAGATTATATACAAAATTAAAATATCGATTAAGACAGCCCATCTCTGTGGCAATGTGTGGGAGAGACCCCTGTTAATATAATAACTAATGAGCGCTGTGCTGGAGCTGTGTCAACATATCAGAATGTCTTTACTGTAGCTATTTAAATAGTTTTTATAGAGTTACAATTTTGCACAGAAGAAAAAAAGAAAGAGAGGAAAAAACATGATTCCATAATTTCAATATTTCTACGCAGGTAATTTCTCCTGGGGTTAATGGTAGCATTGACTACCAAGTTAATAATGGCATTTTATTCTGTTTTTAATAAACTTGCTAGAATATGAAATTTGACATAATGCAGACAATACCAGATATTTATTCAACTGAAATGCAATAAGTCGGTCTTAACAAAAAATAAATGACAAATTGGTGCATAAAAATACACCAGCATACAATAAATGACGAGTTTGACATTCAAAATGTACCTTGGGAGGACCCCCACATCCACCCAGAGCTTGTACAAACTTTTTAATTAATACAATCAAAGTCACCTAAAACTAAGTCACCCCCCCCGACACACACACACACACACACACACACACACACACACACACACACACACACACACACACACACACACACACACACACACACACACACACACACACACACACACACACACACACACACACACACACACACACACACACACACACACACACACACACACACACACACACACTTTTTGTTTTTCAGAATATCGGCTTTTATTGTGGGCACAACTCACAATATACTGCAAACAGATAAAGAGAGGAGGTCATGTGGTGTGAGATGATTATTGAAAGCCAAATGAATTAAGTAGATCATTTTAACGATCTGACCGGAGGGTGTGAAGTCTGCGTATCTGATGTCAGTAGAAGTGGCTGCTTACATGTAGCTGTGGAGGAGGTAGTTAAAGTAAATGAGTGGCTCAGAGACACAATAGTAAACAAACCGATTTTTGTCTCAATTCTAAGATTTAATGTAGTAGTATAATTACCCGAGTGTTTAAATGCGTACTTCAGTGTAACATTTAAAATGTTTAAGTTCCCTAGCTAGTAATTGCTCACCCTACAGGGTCTTAAAGCTGGTGGAGCCCTTGAGCTCACTTCTGTCAACAGCCAAGAGTTCACATCTTGATCTCACCCTCCATTATGGTCAATACTTACCCTTGGTTCATGCTTATGACATGTCCCAGAGTGTGGTACCCCCCTGCTGCAAAGTGGTCCTTATAACGGCTCATCTTTATGGTGTCCAGCCACTCGTTTACTGAGTTACAGCTACTGAAGTCTGGGATAGCTCTCTCCATCAGTGGGGGACTGCTTAGACTGCGGCCGATAGAGAGACAGATGGCCGTGGATACAGAAGAGGGAGAGAGGAAGATGAATGGGAAGACAGAGAGATTAGTCGGAGAGAGTCCGAAACAGCAAAAGAGTCAAAAAGTGAGCAAGAAGCAGAGCGACTGGGGGAATGGGGGAGGGGGGGGGGTGTCTTTGAAATGCGTTAGTAGCTGAGGCAGAAAATCAATAGTGGTTAAAATGATAGAGAAGAGGGGGCTGCTGTGGTAGCAGGGCTGCTGCTTTGGGTAGATTAATACGGGGAGAAATCCTTCACATTCCTCCTATACCTGCTACTTCTCTCACCTCGCGCACAGAAGCACAGTGTCATGCACCACTGACTCTGTAGGACCTGCGATCTGAGCAGAGCAATTTACACAGGTCCATCCTCAGCTCGGGTGTCCTTTCAAACCTGCTCCTGGATTCACTGCGGATCAATGTCAATATCGCAGCTGGGCTTTTACTTAACGCACAGCGCGTCTATCAGAGATGAGCTTATCGGAAAAACGAACGCGACTGCTCCCTACATCTGCCAGAGAACTTTGAGGGAAACTTTAGGCTGCTACTTTATCCCACTGCGCGCATGTTTGAAAGCAGCTGGATTTGATTGGATTTAGTCTGCCTCCCACACCAGGACAGTTACTTAGGAGCCTAACAGTCTGTCAACGTATATTGTCCGGGAGATCATCTTCTCAGCCCCTCGCAGGCGGTGTCTAGCTTTGATTTGCAGCCTAATCCGCTAATCACATGAACCAATATTTGATTAAATGTTGGCCAACTGTCACGCCAAATTAAATCAAAAGAGTCCTCGGCATGTGACACAATACACCCATGTTGCCTTTCAGCGAGTAAAGATCTATTCAGAGGCCCACCCACCTGCAGAGTGTGTCCATAGACTTCAGGTTCTCTGGGTTGCGGATTAGCTTGTCAAGAACAGTGACTATCTGGCAGAAGCGCGGCCTCTCGTTACGATCCTTCTGCCAGCAGTCCAGCATGAGTGTGTGTAGAGCACCAGGGCAGCCCATAGGAGCAGGCAGCCTGTAGCCCTCCTCCACCGATTTGATCACCTGCACATGGGAAGCAAAATGTGAGTGTGCATGATGAGGAATAAAAATACAATTTCAGGTAATGTATTTACGACAAATATTGCTCACATCTCTGTTTGTGAGGTTCCAGTATGGCCGCTCCCCGTAGGACATCACCTCCCACATGACCACGCCGTAGCTCCACACATCGCTGGAGGACGAGAACTTTCTGTAGGTGATCGCTTCCGGGGCCGTCCAGCGGATTGGAATTTTCCCGCCCTGTCAGGATCATAAGGAGGAATGGCCAGGATGATTTACAGGTTTTAAGCCATCTTTGGAGGGCATTTCGAGGTTTGAGTATTAGACCCACAATTACAGTTTTCATGGTAAATCAATTCGAATTGTATGGTTTATGTTGCCAAAAATACTTTTGTATCTAAACCCTGACACATCTAATTCATTGTCACAGAGCTTTGTTTGTGTCCCAAACTTTTCAAAACACATCTGAGTCACATTGTTGCAGTCAGTGATCTTTTCCTTTATTATAAAGCCACATTACAATGAAACACATACTGTTTATTTTGACTCTATGCACCAAGAAATGTCAACTCTAACACCAATCCACAGCTGAAGAGAGTTCTCACCAAATGCACAGTTCTCCTATTTTTCACAAGACTAAAGCGACTTAGAGCTGAGAATTTTTTGGGGAGATAGTTGTTCTTTTTCTGTAATTTTTTTTTTGAGAATAAAAAGAAGATCAAATATTGCTTGTCCTTGCCTTTGAAGACTGTTGGGGAGTATTCAAAAGATATGAAACTCTTTGGCTTCTACATGTAGGAGGAAGACAGACTGAAGGAAGGCACTTAACCTGCAACTGTTTAAAGCCTTACTGTGTGACTTTCAGAGCAGATTTTCAGATCAAGAGGCTCTCTTTAGACACCGCTCCTTCATCCCTCAGCCCCCTCATCCCCTCATGTCTCCACACTTCCCCTCACCCTCCTTTCCTGCTCCACTAGAAGTGTTCTGTTAGGCAGAGACAGCAGCAGACAATTATAAACATTGGTTTTTACGATTTGTCTTTTTAGGCCATAGAAAGTATTTTCTTCTGTTTTGTGTGCTCAAACAGGCGAGACATGACAAAGGGCAGTAACCCCTCCCCAAAGTGGATGACACTCCCACAGCTAGGTGTTTGATCTGCCCTCTGAGGGCACGGTCACACTGGCAATCCGTACCGTGCCGTACTCAAGCACGATTGGCCCCCCACTGTGCCATTCCCACACTGGCCGGCACGGCCCGCGGTCACACTGCACAGGACTAACCGTGCCTAAGCACAATTACCACTTGTACATAAAGTTGTAATACAACACATGCATGCTTTATGCTATGATGAAGCTTGCTCAGTTTACAAACAGGCAGACTCTCTCTCTCTCTCTCTCAAAAAAAAAAGGGACGCGCAGTCAAGTCCGCGTCTGTACATCGGAGAACAACACAGAGAGCATGACAGCTACTTTACTGACTTTGTGACTTATTTTGAGTTACTTTAAGTAAATAAAAAAAAAAACGTGCGGTCGAGTTCGCGTCTGAAGTGTGCCAAAGCCAAGGAAGTGTACTGTGCCTGAGCACGGCACGGAGCGGTCACACTGGACAAACTAACTGGACTTTAGGATTGAAGCGTGCTTGGGCACGGTACGGATTGCCAGTGTGGCCACGCCCTGAGTCTGCTTCTCATCATAAACAATAGGGCTTGGAGCGAGAAAGCCCCAGTGACATCACCTTCCAGTGAGGGGGCGTGGTCAGACACAGCTCATTTGCATTTAAAGCTACAGACACAGAAACAGCCTGTTCTGAGAATGGCTGAAATAGAGGGGTTTATAGACATTAAATACAGGATCAGAGTGGATTCAGAACAAGAAACTTCACAGACATGTTTTGGGGAGCTCTGAGAATTGTTTAAACTTGTTGAAAAGGAGGAGAATATGTGATCTTTAATTGAAGTACTTGTATAATAATAATAATAATAATAATAATAATAACTTAGATTTATATAGCGCCTTTCACGAAACGTATGTAGTAAATGTATCCTGACAGCGAAAAGTCTAACACACTGGAAATGAAAACGAGCGACTCAGGGTACAATAGTGTACAAACTGATTTCATCAGAAGATAGAGATCGACTGTGGTTAAATGACCACAGGGTCATTAAATTGCTTAGCAGAGCTCCTAAAAGCATGTGTTACAGGAAAGGTCTAAATGGACTTGCAATAGCGGGCCAATATGTGATCTACTTACATTATGTGCATATAAAACTGACACTTCATTAGGCTGAAAAATGGAAACATCACATCTTAAACAAGCAACGCGCTCCCTTTGGGTTCTTTTAAACATCTGAAGGTTACTCAGAGAAGCCCATTAGAAACACTTAACGTCCTGCTGAACATTCAAAGCAGCCATCTGATCCGCTAGAATTCTCCAACCTTAACTTATGATCTTAATACTGCAGGTTCTTCAAAGTGACTTTGCAGCCAGATTCCACATAATAGGCAGCTTTATTCACTTCATTTAGATTTCCCCGGCAGTAATGTGAGCTGTATTAATCTTCGGCCACTATCAGGCATTAATTCCTGATGTGCTGTAATGATGCTATATAGAGTTTGTAATGTCATCCGTGATCCAGAGAGATGCTGCATGTAATCACCTTGCTTTCTGTGATCTGATAGCGGTGCTTTAACCGACTGTAACAGACAAATGTGTCAAAGGCGGATTTCCATCTGTGTGCGGTGAGCTGATAGCATTTGACTGTGCGAGGAGCCACCTTTGCCTTTTCTTTTAGTTGAGATTTAAACGTTTTTTTCCCGTCAGGCTGCAAGGTTTAATATTGGACTGTTCTCTCCTAAAGGACTCTGCTCTTACTTTCATGTAGCTTTGATTGTATTTGTATTGCTTTTACAGTCGTGTTTGTCTCGATGATACTCTCCTGAACAGATTTCAATGGAGCTGCCTCATTAAACATTTATATAAGAATTCCAAATACATTTTTACCTGTCAGTTAACGTCATCAAATATCAAGCCATGGATCTTCAAAAAATTAAATGTAATGGCTGTAATAACGTTCAGCAGGAAAAAAAAAAAAGCTCAACTCGCCATTTCATTTCTTTTCTTTATTATTCAGCAAATCTCAGAAGGATTTGTGGATATCTGCAATTACATCACTTCTCCAAACCAAAGCTGCCTACTTATGTCTTGCTGCAGGTGCTTGTTAATAACTACAGCTCAGTGTGCGTTTGAGTGAGAGGTCTATCTTCACACCTTATTCTAACATAGCTCTCCTCATCTCTCTTCCTGCTTCTCTGATCAGCTGGACTTCACATGTATTTCAGTTTAAACCAGCGCGATTCTGCTGAGCTCTCCTTCAGTCAATCATAATGCTGCTGTCAAACTTTAAATATGTCGTTCTTCAACCCTCCTTTGGCCCGTTTAACTCTGGGTTTATCACATCTCGTGTCTGAGCTGATCCTTTTCAGAAATCCACACCTCACCTCAGGGTTCTTCCTGCATTTAAAACACCGCCAACGGATGGCGTCAAAGTCTGAAGGGTGTTTTTAAAAACGCAGTGGTTCAAGTACAGCACCTGGTTAGTTGGTCATTTCAAACTGCAATTAGGTTTGTGTTCTTTTCTGCTACGCTGCGAGGCATGCCTTACAAAAATGTCCATGTGAATGGTAACCAGTGTTGGGAATAACGCACTACTAATTAACACGCTACTGCTACGCCACTATTTGTGGTAACTAGTAGCATTTAGCTACTTTTCAACTTCAACAGCGCTGTTACAATTAGTAACGTTTAAAAAGCACTCATTACTCGTTGATTTACGTAAAATATCGGAAAACATCACAAGGCTAAGGTTTAATGACATCGTTTCAGCGAGCGAGGTTATGCTAACATGCTAAGCACAGTCAGCGCACACACACACACATGCTGATGATCCTTCAGGCTTCAGCTTTCTGTGTCGGAAATACTGACATCATTTTTTCATTCCATGACAAGAATCTAGCGGTGAGTTGTAGTCTGTGTGCAGGATGGAAAACTTTGTCCACCGCTAAGGAGAGTCATTCTGATTCCCACAAAGCATCGAGCTAAACAACGACACACTTCTACTAAGCTAGCTGTCAGAGAGCCACGTGCTGTAGACACCAGAGACCCAAGCCACGACTCCACAGACTGATAGACAGATATGTTGTGGACGACATGCTTCATATAAACTGTTGAGTCAGTTGTATTCAGATAACTTATTAGCAGAATTAACTTACCTACATATTGAAAATGACTCCAGTGTTATATGAAATTAGATGTGCAGGTTGTTCCTTCTCACATTGCCACAGTAACACTAGATAATGTTTACATCATTTTAGTACTCAAACAAAAAAAGTGATGTCAAAGTAACTAATATTAACTAATGTGATGTGTAACTAATTATTAGTGTTGTAGTACTCCAAATCCATCTTGGTTTCAAGACCGATGTCGAGACCACTTTTTGAAGGTCTTTGTCTTTCCTCTGAATCACAAACATTTTTCCTTGGTCTGTTCTCCATCCCAAACTGGGCAGGCTCTTGATTTGAAAACAACACCGGTCAAGACCACCACTCACAGACTATTTCCACGTCATAACTGTGATTAGAAGGAAAAAAAACACCTTTCAAAACTAAAGAATAATTTCAAATAATTTCTAATTAGATTTTTAACCCCTGGTTATGGACGAAACCTTCCCGGGGTTACGGTCTAAGTGACATCAGTCACATAAGATGATGATTTCTCAGTGATATGGTCTTGGTCTTGTCTCGGTCTCGATCCCTGAATGTCTTGGTCTTGTCTTGGTCTCGGAGTGCTCTGGTCTCGGTTATGTCTTGGTCTTGATTAGTGTGGTCTTGACTACGTCACTAAATAACTTTTAGTTACTAACCCAACACTGATGAAAACACTTTAAATCTGCTAGAATGTGACATTTGAAATCCACACAGTACCATTTTTGTTTTTTGCTGTGTTTTGTCACTATTTAATGTTTTTTAATTTCTTGATTTGTAGTCGCTGTAACGCACTTTTAATTGTAAGGTAAGGTGCTATATCAAGCAGAGTATTTTCTGGCACAACTTCACCAAGGTGCATGAAGAGAGAAAGGCTTGAAGAGGTCAAGAGGCTTGTGGCCTTCATCAGGGTCATCCAGCCACAAGCCGAAACGTGTCAGTCTAATTTGTTAATAAAGTTGATCTTTGTACACTAAGTGTTGTTGGAGCTTTTTGACATCTTCGAGGTGCTATATCAATAAGGCTTCTTTGATTGATTGATTATTACATGAAATTATTTTCTTTTTACAAAAATAAAGATAAACTATTTTTGCCAGATTGGTGCACAGAAATACACCAGAGTACAAGAATGACAGTGTTTGATGCTCAAAATGTACTTCACGTGGAGAAGTTTCTTCATCACGATTCTTTAAAAGGGGTGTGCAGATGTTAAACAGCTGAATTGTCAGTCCTTACTTCCTGTGATCGCTTCTCTTTAATGCTACTATTTCCTTGAAAGATCTGTGCATGTGTATCGAATTGCATGTGTGTGTGTGTGCTTCGTTAATGCTTGCCTCAATGTGAAAACTCACACTGGTGGTGTATGCGGCGTCGGGGTCATCCTCCAGTACCCGGGACAGGCCGAAGTCAGACACCTTACACACCAGGTTGCTGTTGACCAGGATGTTCCGGGCAGCCAGGTCTCTGTGGATGTAGCCCAGGTCAGACAGGTAGGTCATACCAGCTGCAATGCCACGCAGCAAGCCCACCAGCTGGATGATGGTGAACTGGCCATCGTGTCTCTGCAAGGAGGAAGAGAAGGAAGGGGAAAGAAATTCAGGAAGGAGGAAGCAGAATGAGAGAGAGAGATTTATGTGGAGATAAAAAAACATGATGGCATAGGAGCAGAAAAGACGAGGAGAGTGATAGCAGGAGAGATTTTAATCAAGATAGAGAAGAGAGTGAAGATAAGAGAATAAAACATGACAGGGAATTTGCCTTTTAGTAATAATTCACATTCATATACGCAAATACGGGAGCTGGTTGACATTGTCTATGAAGTACAATGTTAAATCAACTCATCTTGTTAAAGAAACTTTGATATCTGCTCAAAACACTGCTGCTGTTCTCGTGGCAAAAAATGATATTCAAGAAGCCATGTGATGTGATGTGACGTCTTTCTATTCCAATATTCAATAACAAATACAAAGATTGTAATATTTACAAATATGCTAAATAATTACACCTTCATGATGAGATGGGAAATAAAAAGATTGTGGAGCCTCATACAGCTTTTAGAGAAATGCACTAAATTATCCAGAGAAATGAAACATTTTACATGAAAACTGTTGAAACATTTCTAAGAAGTTAAAAACTTCTGACACAAAGGCTTGGTTACAGAGAAATCTATGCACTCCTTAAGGCACGGGAATTTCAGTTATGCTTTTCGGTTGCTTTACAGCGACATAACTTTTTGAGGCTTAAACCTAAGTGAGAATTCTGTCGTCAATAAAAGTTGTACGCACTATGTCAACAAAGGCTGTTGACATAGTAAGTAAGGTCTTTTACCTGCTTTTTGTAAAGTGTCTTGAGATAACACTTGTTATGAGTTGACGCTATACAAAAATAAATTGAATTGAAATTGAAATGAAAGGCTGACCCAAGCGATCACAGTTTAGCTCAGCTACACTACAAATGATAATAAAACAACAAAGGGCAACATGTGGAGTTTGTTGATCTATCCCTATCTATCATGTTTTTATTAATGGGGAGGAGGGGGGGGGGGGTCACTGTTGAGGGCCTAAATGTGCCAACAATAAAGATAGGCAAATTTTTGTTCTCAAAATTATAATTTCAATATATGTTTTTTATTCAATCTTCAATGAAAGAGCCAGAAATCTCTCAAGATTTTAGAATTAGAACTGGAATTGATCAAATCTAAATATATTGTTTTCAAAGGACAGGGATAAAAATAAAAAGGAAAGAAAAAGTTGAACAAAATAAAACAAACAGTTACCTTCACTGCTTATAAACATGTAAAATCTCACCCTGAGGAAGGAGTCCAGAGAGCCGTTCTCCATGTACTCCGTGATGATCATCACTGGTTTACCTGAGGAGACAAACAAGGTCTTTGAGGATCCTTCTGAGCTCAACATGTTTGGTTGCAGCACTAATTAAAAACAGTCTTCTATTCATGTGTATGGTAGCTTCTGATTTAAAAATCATGCACAGCTTGTTTCAAAAAACAAATATAATTCAGCTCTGTATTTGGGTGTTTGTTTTTTTTGTTTTTGGTTAACATTTTCAAAACATTTTAGTTTTAATAAAAAATAAAATCCCAGATAGAAAACTTGACTTTCAGCCAAGGACACAGAATTGAAGAAAAACGAGTACTTAAGACGAAAACTGCAAAATTAGACGTGAGCAGGAAACCACTCAGCTAACAAAGCTGTGTCTACTTTCCACCCTGCATGCTCCTTCTGAGCAGGAGGTGAATACATGTGGTAGGATCATGAAAGGTGCACTGTGGAGTTTTGGTAGAGAAATGTGAAAGTTGTAGAAGAGGACAGATTGTGTAATATATAATGATAATAATAATTCATCCTTTATTAATCCACACCGGGGAAATTCAGTTTTTATATGTCCATAAACTGAATACGCAAACTGTCCTCAGAGGAAAAGTTGGACCCTGTAACTGTTTGAAGATAAAATGCTACACGAGAAGTTATGATGGAGGGCCGCAACAGTGACACCGTAACACTCCTGTTAGCATTTTAGCTCCAAACAGTGTTCAGGGAGCCATTTTTTCTAGTTTGTGTATTCAGATCAGAAAATAAAGCATAGAATTGTTTCACTTCTCCAACTTTCACCACCAAATTCTGGGTTAATTGTTTTGCCAAAGGACACGTCAGACATGATGCATGATTACGTCGTCATCTGTCACCACTACCCACATTATATAGTTAATGACCTTCATGTTGAAACACTCTACAGCGTTTTCATGATCACTGGGTGAACTGACCCTTGGATGCACTTTGTTCGAGAAATGAACTTTAAAGATTTTGAAAAGCAACGTCACATTTACACAAAGGAGAGATGTGTTGGATGGTTTAGGATTTAAAGGAAGCGAAGGTTCATTTAATTGTTTCCAGTATTACCATTCCAATAGGGATCATTTTAATGTTCAGCCTCATTGTTATCTTCAATCTCCAAGTAAAAAATACTACAAGTTACAGTGGTCCCATTTGAAGGCTTAAAAATGGGCACATTTTAAGCCATCTTTTTTATCAGTTCCATTCTTTAATACACCTTTACTGCTAAAGTCTTCAGCCCGAGTCCATCACATGATCGCGATGGCTTAACTCAGTAAAATGTTAAGTGATAGATTAACTAAGTCGAGCTCTTTTCAGACTTTTTTTCTATTTTCAAAAGTTGTTACAACATTAACCCAAGTCCTTTCTTTAGCTTATGCTGTTAGTGATTATTACTCTGCTCATTCCAGATTTTCTGTCAGAACTGATCATTTGTTGTCCTGAACATATCTTTACATTAACGTATCGTTTCAAAAAGCTTCATACTCTGGGTCACCACTCCCTCCAGGCGGATGACGTTGGGGTGGTCAAACTGTGCCATGATTGACGCCTCAGCCAGGAAGTCCCTCTTCTGTTTCTCCGTGTATCCTGCCTTCAGGGTCTTCAGGGCCACTGGGATGTCTCGCTTCCCCGGAAGTCTCATACGACCGTAACAAACTTCCCCAAACTCCCCTGAAATACACAAAACCAGGAGACATGAGAATGATTTTTACCTCAGAGGAACACATGCTGTCTTAAACACTAAAAACACAACTGCAGTCATTTTGATGTTAATTTGAAATGTGATCACTTTATTGAGATAAACATGTAAGCATATGACTTTGACTCTTTCAAAATGTATGAATCCTTAATTATATGATTTCATTTAAATTATAAAACACAAAAGAGTATTTCTACTTTAAATAGTCATGACATTTAGATTGAATGTATTCATTATAGATGAAGTATCAAATGAATGTTTGCACATCCGCATTGCTTAGAAACATATATTTATTGTTTTATACTTTTGAAAGTATAAACGCTTTAAGCCAAAACCACCAGATACTTTGTTTTAGAGAGACAACTGAGAGGAGAATACATTCTTTCTTATTTAAACTTTTAACCTGATGACTTGAGGAATGAACAGATATTTTTGGTTACTCAAGTTCATTTGAGCTGCAGTTGAGTGATTCTGTGTTTTTATAGTGATGGTCTCATTGACTCTTCACACAGTTACATGCAGGGTATACATGTTGGTATATGTGTCTCCTTACAGGTCCATAAAGGTTTTTAACAAAGCATTGAAATACATATTTGCAATGTCTTTTAAAGTTCACATATCCCGTGGAACATAAATGAATTCATATATAAATCTGATCTCATTTGATCATGCATCTGCAGGCTCTGTATTTGAATGAACTAATACATATTCACATTTATTTAAATACGACTTCATGTCTAGGTTTTATCCTTCTGACACTTTTGCAAATTACAGATCCATTTATTCGTAGGTTCTGAATGGATAATTGAAATTATAGTTAATTAAATATGAACAGTCAGAATGACTGCTTTGAGCAATCAAGTGTTTCATTTACAATCATTAAAGTATAAACTTTAATCCACTGTATTCAACATACTACGCTGCATCCCAACTAGCTTTTAAGACCAACTACTTCACGAGAACTAATGTTAAAGGAAGAATGTGCGACATTTTACACATAAATACAGCGTGACTGTTTTTACTGTGTTAACATGGACGGGATGGCCGGCTCCTCCCTTTGTGTATAAAAGCTTTTTAAGTCAAGGACTAGAGAAAAGAAGAAAAACATACTTACTGCTTATTTAGATGTCATGTAAGGGTTTTGAGATCATAGTCATTCTGTGTCAATTTATGTGCAATGTGAAGCTACGAGCTAACTAAAGTGTGCTAACATTAGCCTGCTAAGACTACAATGCAGGCCACAGGCGATTGCAGCTTGAGCAAAGGACAATTTTGTAAAACAACATGTGAACGTGAGTGGAGCGGGGTTGGAGGTGTGTCGCTGGAGGAGAGCGGAGGTTTATATTATGGAGGAGGTGCAGCCAGTTTGGTTTTTGTTCTATGCTGGTGCTCAAGGGCGACCTCTACTGGATCAAAAAGTTGCACATTCTTCCTTTAAGGCAGTGGTGTCCAAACTTATTTTCTTGCGGGCCAAAGTTGTCGCATTAGAATCACTCGCAGGCCACAGGTTTTGTTTTTTAAAATATAGTTGAAAAAATAGTAAGGCTTTGTAGATCAGAATCAAAAGGCTCGCTAAAGAAACCCTTTAATAAAAGGAAATCAAATATTTTGATTTCTTCGTTCTACTTTATTAGTTTTTTTCTCAGAATCAAACCTGTAACGTGGTTCATTTTTTTTTGGGAAAGCTTTCTGCATTTAGCTCAGATCATTAAATGGTTAAACAACAATCCGCTTGTTTGCAAAAACTGTGCATACGTTTTTTTTTTCATTTCAGTTTACAAAACAAAATGTGTAAAATTGTAAAAGCTGTAGATTTAAAAAAAACAACAACATACATGTTACTGAACATTTTCTATTTTAGGAATATTGTTCAGCCCTTGTTAACATGAAAAATAAAAATAAGATAATGTCAATCTTTGGCTTCGGGCCAAAATCTTTGAAGTCACAGGCCGCAAAAAAATCCCCTCAAGGACCGCAAATGGCCCTCGGGCCGCACTTTGGACACCCCTGCTTTAATGTAATGTCCTAACTCATATAGAAAAAAACAATTAAAGGCTACCAGTCGGAATTTTTATGCAAATCTGAGCTGATCATCCAATGTCCATTTTGTCATCAGCGCTTATCTTTAGTTTAGAAGAACTTTTTTACGTCGATTGCTGTAATTTTATACTTTCCATTACGGTGTGAGTCTGCAGGGTTTATAACAAGCACAGAGTATAGCGGAGCTGACACACCGTTAGTATTCCCTCCCTGTCTGAGGAGCTTTGATTGACAGCCCCACGCAACGCTCTGATTCCGCTCTGCCATCCTCCTCTCTGCTGCACACCACAGCTTTTACACCGGCCAATGATTTTAAGTTAGCTCAGCCAATGATTCTTACTGTGTGTGTGTGTGTGTGTGTGTGTGTGTGTGTGTGTGTGTGTGTGTGTGTGTGTGTGTGTGTGTGTGTGTGTGTGTGTGTGTGTGTGTGTGTGTGTGTGTGTGTGTGTTGTGTGTGCTGTGATAGTGTGTGAGTTCATGGTTTTACCTGAACCAATGATTTTCTCTATTTTGATCCTGGAAGCTTCAATTTCTCGGGCAAACTCGTGCACCGCCTGGCAGGGGTCCTCGTATGTGTGCGGGTCGATATAGAACCTCGTGTCGGGGAATGACACTAAGATAAACAACATTAGCATTTGGTCACATATCGGAGAATGAGCGCAACATCGCATCTGAGCCCCTGTCACTGGTGTGTGCGGAGGGGAAACTTGATGAAAAGGGAAGAAATGACTTGCAGAAAGGAGCAGACAGAGAGAGGGGGAGAATGAACAGCATGCGAGGGAATAAAGCCTGTGTGCTCCTGTAATCACTCAGCGCGTGATGAAAATTGTTTGCTCTAAGGATGAACTTTATTACATGGGGATGAAAATGCGACCTCTTTGCAAGGAATGCGATCTAATCTATTACTGGTAATAATTCGGGAATGGGCCAAACATACCGTGACCGTTCTGGTAATGCATCTTCTCCTCGTCAGAGTCCTGGAAAGCTTTGCTGTAGCCACAGTGTCTGTACAAACCACACGCATACACACACAAGAGGACACACACACACACACACACACACACACACATAAACATACAGTGGGATGAATACAGGACAATCGTGAAACATTTGTGCTATCAGACTCTAACCACAGCTTATAATTAATAAATCAATAATTGTTCAAGAGAAATGATTAACTTCAGCAGAGCTATTCATCACTTAGTGATGCTTAGTTATTAATGAAGAACAACCAGTCAACCTGTTCCCCCCGCTAATGAGCTTTTACATTGTTAACAAGGTAGAGGGGAGAGAGGGCAGAGAATGCTTAAAGGGTCAATGCTGGCACGTTACACTCCATACTGTCAATTTAAAGAATAGAAAACAGTATTCATGTGAGGGAGGAACAATAAACATGTCTCAGGAGGGGACTTAGGAGAGACAGGGCAACACATTCAAAGCCTTCTATTAAACAGAGATTAAAATACTGGCAGCCTGCCTCACTGTCTTTATGAATCCAGAGCTTCTGAGCCAGTCATTCAAATGACTTCACTCCCACTGAGCTGGGGTTAAGTTCACTGACTTCTGCCTCTATTTCAATGTCTTGCATAAGTGTATTGTTACTGCTTATTTAACCTTTGACATTCTTTTTTTATGTTACTTAAAAACACTCAGTTCCTTCATGAAGGGAATTGGTGTGGAAATAACAGATCTATGATTTGATTTCAGGTAAGAATCTTCAATAACTGGATAAAAAACACTGGCGGCCCTTTTGAGTTCCAATTCAATTCAGACAGTATTCATACAAAGTGTCTTCATACTGCCTCCCATCAGTGTCTGGGTCAGTGTCACCTTGTCTGTGTCAAGTTTTGATTTAAAATGTATAGGGGGAATAAAAACACAGTTTTGGCCTTCATAAAAATCTTTAGTTTTCATTTTGATTGATTAATTTGATTTATTTCACAGCTGCACATTTATAGAAATTTTGAAAGCTGGCAATGCTTTTAAGATGTCTACAACCTTCAGAAGTTGGTTTCTTTCAACACAAATCACTGACTTATTCAAACTCCCAGAGACTTAGGTAGAAAGCTTATCTGCAGTTCAGGTATGTAAGTACGATAGTCTCTGGTGTTTGTGGGTGTTTATTTATCTGTGAGGAGGTTATCAACCCATAACTCTCTTTTTTTGGATTCTCCATCTCAGTATGGTTACATAAACATGATTTTGTCCGGATAATATTTTTTCTCATCCTTCAATGTTTTCTGTTATTGCTCCTCAAACAGATTGTAATGAAACAAAATGAAAAAATGCATTGAAGTAGGAATTAATTAAGTGCAATGAAATTAATTATTCGGTGCAGTACTACAGAGATGTTAGCTGAAGACATCAAACGGGAGGAAGGGGGGGCTGATGGGATAATTGGGAACATTTGGCTTGCAATCTACTGGACATGAATCAACATAATTAACTTCAATATGAGGTGGAAATTACGAGTTAGGAAATTAGCTTGTTATTAAGACAGTGAGGAGACGTTACGGGTTGAGGAGGCGGGATAAGCTAAAGCATTAGCTTTAAAACAAAAAAAAATCCTTTCTACTCACAGTCTTTATTACTGATAGAAAAGCATGCACACTATTTGTGTGCTTAGACATTTTAAACATTTCATGATGACAAGGGGCACTAAAGGTATTTTATATTCTGAAAAGACAGGCTTAAGTGAGATCCTTCTCCGTTTCTGGAGAAAAAATGTTAGCTTTCCTTTAAAGCCTCTCTCAGATTACAGCCTACTTTCATTTGACTTGCAGGCAATACTACATGTGGGAGAAGCAGGGAGGAAAAAACAGTGCACACGGGGCTTTGATCACAGGCAACATTACACAAGAGAGATACGGTAGAGTAGTGTAAGAAAGTGTTCCACACACAGCAGCGATGGGTAGTGTGGTAAAGTGTAGCCTTGCCGTTTCCTGCAGATTATGATGGCCAGAAAGGTGACCAGGCAGGATACCAGGGCCATGCAGATCCAGATTATGGACATGGTGTTGTAGCGCAGAGGAGCTGAGAACACACAAAAAAACAAAACACACACAGTGTAAGGAAAAGGTGGCGCCGACAGTGGAGAGTTTGCAGTTTACACCGACACACACACACACACGCGCTGACACCGTCTGGCAAACACAAGCGGCAGGTGGAGTGTTCTTGCTCAAACAAGATAAACAAGAATCTGGAGCTTCATTAAAGAGCTCTGCGCTTTTTTTAATTGCTTCCTGTTTGCGTTTGAAAGTTTGTCAGTGGCATTAGAGGTAGGAAATATTCAGCGTATGTTGTCATCTAGTTATAAAGACTTAACGCTGCTGTCCAAACCTGTGATTGATCCTCTACCATTCAATACACTTTTATATTCAAAAACTCCTGGACGTGTGAGACGCTATGTATGAGGAAAAAAAATATTACAAGGAATCTGCCACTGTCAACATTTTAAAACCTGTTCTCTCTCTTCCACAGTCAGTTTGTCGTTTCAGTGCGATCGCTGCGACCCTCCTCCGCCTCAGTCACATCCATTCCAGCTCAGCAGAGTTCAGATAAAGACTCAGACACTCCTCATCCCATCCTCTATTCTCCTATCACCACCACCACCAGGTTCTAGACTCCATAAGGGGGTATCCTATCCTGCTGCTGGCCTCGCTACCCCTCTGAGTGCATGAAGTCATCATGACGGAGTCCAATCGGCAAAGACTTTGCATATTTATCTTTCCTAAATGTTTTAAATAAATAATTGCAAACTCTTACTTCAGACTTTCCTGGTGACTTGATAGTGTACTAACCTGTTTGTTATTTTAAAGAGTAGCACATAGCCTAACAAATATGTTTGAATTAAACTACTTTTATGACCCTCAGTGAATTCAGATTTCTGCAGAAATTAAAGACAAATATATAAAATCCAATAACTTAAAAGTATGAAATTACAATTTAAAAATGACGGCAGTGACTGTAACTGTTTCTGATGGGATGAGGGACTTCATTGCCTAAACCGTGAACAGTGACATTCAACCTGGTGCTGATACTGAAATGTACACATGTTTCTCATGATATTGTCCTTTTGTCATTACTATCAAATATCAAATGTAATGCTTTTTAAAATTCACCAAATTCCAAGAAAATGGCTTAACATTTTTAACTAGTATTTTTTGTTTACCTTAAACAGCTAGTTGAGGGTCAAACCTGCGCCTAACCACCCAGCACACTAAAACCATTTTTTTTAAAAATTTTCTGCCCACTGATGAACTTAAGACACCACATTCCTCACATGTCCTCCACCTCCAAATATTTCCCCCTCGAGGCTTTTTGGGATAGTTGTTCTGCAAGTACAGTTCAGCTATTAGCATCACAGGTTCCTCCAGGGAAGGACTAGGGATTGAACACCTCACTGTGTATTAGGATCCCTGCCTCAGGGCTGTGTTTAAGCCCTCTTCAGTGCTGCATGTACCAAAACTCACTGTAGCCACTTTCAGCACCAGTAAGAAATGACAGGATTACATATTGTATCGGATATGATTGCAAGAGACAAATAACTTGATGACTGACTGAATGATTAAAAGATGAGAAGTTCTAAATTCAAAACGTGTTTCAGTGAAGATTAAAGTATGTGTACTTCATGCATTGATGCTCTTTATATGTTAAATAAAGAGTCAATAGCTTTTCCTAATAACTAAATATAATATTTAAAAAAAGTAATTCTATTAAACATCTGTTAGGATTAACTAAAAAAAACATGTCACTATCTTTTTGTGGATAATGATGAGTTTCACTATGTAAGCTACAGCTTTTCCTCCTGATGGCAAATGGCCATCACCTAAGGACCATTAACATCTGCTAAAAATGTCCTGAAAAGCTATCCAAATATTGTAAAGTTAATTCAGTCTTCTTGAAAATGATGGGACTGCCATTTCTTCCTTCAAATGAACATGAATATGAGGTTACCTCCAAAAATGTACTACAGATGGAATAAAAGTCAGTATTGTAGGTTAACTCCACCGTGTTTGCTGAAAGCAGACGAGGAAAAAGGCTACCCAGACTGTTTTTCATAAACTTTAGGACGTATTGATTAGTCAGCATGTAGGCTAGTGGGATTTGTGCCGTCCTCTTGCTTCCAGTGTGAAAATGAATCAGTATCAAGAGGAGGAGAGTCGGGGTCCAGTGAGCAGCGGAATGAAAGGAGACTATTAGTCAAAGAAACAGCACTGGGACTCCAACCAGGCGGGAGGTTTAGCTTTGCAGACCTAGAGTCTGTTCTGCACGCTATCTGCCAAATCCCCTATTAGGAGAGAAAAATGTTCTAATAAAAGGTTGTTTTTTTGTTGTTGTTATTCCTAACTTTGAGAGTTGTACTTGCCTCAGGTGGACAGACCCGTGAAGACTTCCACCCGACCCCGGCTCTGTGTACAGCTGTTTGAAGCTGGGATACGCTGCAGTTCAGCTGACAGGGGTGACCCTCTAACAAAGTGCAGATCAATGAAAACAGAGGGATGGACTCAGGCGGTTACCGGCCTCTCTGACACCCAGGACTCTTTAGCCCTTGACCCATGCCTATGCAGCCTGGCCTGGCTTTGAGAAACTCTCTGTGCCAAATCCTTTAACACATCAAACCATTTTTTAACTGGACTTTTTCCAGTGTGTAACAGAACATACAGCTGCTAGAGGGTGGGAGGGAGGTTTTGAGCAGCTGCCTTCTTCCTGTTTCTGTGTTTCTTGTAGAGCATCACAAACTCACCTGCTTTCCCAGTCTGGATCTCCACGTTCTGGCTGAAGCGTCCACAGCCAGCTGATGTTCTGGCTCGGACCTGGAAGATGTACTTAGTGCCCGGCTTCAGCCCTGACACACGGGCACTGGTATTTTTAGACTTCAGAGTGGAGTAACTTTGCTCTTCATTGTCCTGTAAAGGAGACAGCTGTAGTGAAGATAGCGTTTAAGAGGACATTCTGGACAGTTTATGAGCTCTGAAAACAAAAGCTCTGCAGACACCTTATAGGAAGGGGTTTGTAATCAAGCATGTGATGTAGACTGATGTAGAGTGGTATATTTCACAACACGAAAACATGAACAAATACGTCGGATGGTGTAAAGTTTTTTATTGGTTACATTTAAATCTGCAATCAACTGTCACAGATTTGGACACATGGGAGCAGAAACAAGTTGTTTAAACCGGCTGTGGGTCAGTTGGTAGAATCGGTCATCTCTCAACCGGAAGGTCGAGGGTTCAAGCCCCAGCTCCTGCAGCAACATGTCCGATGTGTCCTTGGGCAAGACACTTAACCCTGAATTGCTCCCACTGCGTCGTGTATGAATGTGTGTGAATAGGATTAGTTATTCATGATGGTCACTCCTGAAACCCTCAATCATTTGAGGGTTTGATTATTGATGTCTACCTGGTCTGTACAAGTCTAATATTCACTCTCTTATAGCTGCTTTGAGATAGTTTGAAGAAACGATACGGCTCACTATACTTATTGCTTATTTGTCTCTCTGTCTTTTTTCTGAAAACAAATGCTTTCAGTGGTTAAAAACAAAGATATAAAAACATTGTAAGTGTGAGCAAACAGCGCAACTCACTGAGGGGAGTTTGAGTTTGGTTGGAGACGGTTCTTCATAGTTCAATCACGATCAGAAACACCTTTTTAAATTTCCTCTTCTCACGTTGTCATTTCTTTAATTTATTGATAAAGCCGACTTGAAGAGAAGAAACATAATGCATTGAACAGATATGCATATGGTTGAACAGGAGAATAATATTAACTAGTTAGCTGTGAGGGATCTGCTGGTTACACTTAGATTTTAATGAATCAGAGTGTATTTGTGCTTTTCAGAGATTACTGCAGATAAATGAACAGGACAGCTTGATGACATTTATCTTGTGATTTTCCACTGGATAGAGTACCTTGATGTGTCAGCGGGGGTTAAATTAGGACAGTGTCTGTCAGAGCTGAGCACCGCCTCATGAATACGTCCATGGTTGCCAACTCTCACAGAGTGGTGCAGGACACCTGCTCTCAGGCTCTAACGCCAAACAAACAAACTGCACGCCAAATAACAGCGTGCCTCAAAGCAGCTCCTTCATAAGAAACATCATTTAATAAGATCAGGTAGACACTAACTTTGGTTAACCAATTAGGGGTCTGTCATGTCATTAAATGTAAGCTGGAGTTTTCCATTAAATTTAAAATGTGTCTGCACTTCAACAGAATCAGACTCTAACAGCAGCCCTGTGTTTCTGTACAGATGTGGTAAGTACAAAGTTTTAAGATTGAAAGTGAATTTATTTGGAGTAGAGCGAATATTCCTCGGCTACATCAAAGCAGAAAAGGTCAAAACACCTTTTTAAAAATCAAATATTTTATCCTGTTATGTCATCTGATGAATACATGGAGTTTAAAAAAAATTGCAATTAAATTTGTTACCATACAATACTGAGTTCACTATAAAATGTAATCAGTAATATGATAACTTGATTTTAATTACCTGACAATAAATATAACAACATATCCCTTTTACATTTTGATGTTGTATAGATACTAATAACACAATGCATATTTTGCTTTATAAAATGTGATATTGATAATATTTAGCAAAAACATTTTGAAACTTTTGTTAAAACTAATTGAGTTAAAAAAATATATTTCTTTTGTAGCCTGTGTTTCTCCCACTGAAGCACATACAAGTTTTAAAAGACAAATGATTTTCTCAACTTTGTAAATGGTACAACAGACTTGAGCTTTTATATCATTTTTTGTAATATTCAGACTCAAAGCACTTTTCCACCGCACCAACTCATTCACACACTGAATTCAGAGGCTGCTCTGTAAAGTGTCCATCAGTAATAACTAGTCCATCCACTCACATTCACACGCCGCTGAAAAAGCAGCAGGAGCAATTCAGGGTTAAGTGTCTTACCCAATGACACATTGACATGTCGCTGCAGGAGCTGGGGATCAAACCCCCCGACCTTCTGGATGAGAGCAGCAGACTACCACTGATCCACAGTGGACGGGTTGTGTCACCTTCATTCAGGTTCTTAAAAAGTTGGGTCATTACAACTGACTCTTACATGTCAATAATTAGTCCAAATTCTAAAAACACCAGCGCACAGAGTAATCTCTAATATGTAGTCATCTCTATGCCACTCGTTCAGACAAGTAGAGTTTCAGTACTGCTCCCCAGTGTATGTTATTAATATGTTTTAGTGCGTGGAGATGTTTTACATGCTGCATCATATTGGTTTTCCAATTTGTGGCGTTTATAAGACTCTTGCAATATTTGCACTCTTATTGACTTGTTAGCTGAACTTCACATCTACTCTCCTGCTTTGAAACAAGACTCATTGTCTTCTTTGACGTCAAACAAGAGAAGCCCAAAGTAGATAGCGCCCTCTGCTGGTTAAAATACACAGTATTGCAAAATCTATTTTATTAAATCGATTTAAATTGTCAGTATATGCACCTACTGTATTTTTAATTGTATTGTGAGGTTTTGTTACATCCTAGTAGCATAATATTTATATACTGTTATAATGTTCAGTAGTCACACTGCAGCGTGCAGGATGATAATCATTCAGATGATCTGTGAACAGACATGTATTCAATGCAAGGACATGAGTTTTATTGCTAAGAAATTAGTCATTGAACCAAAAGTCTGCAAGCTAGCAGCATTGTGTGATTTATAATAGTATACAAAGTATTATTTTATTGTCTTCACACTTTTATTTCCTCATATTTGTCACCTTCACAAAAACATGTTTAAAGGTGCACTATGTCGATTTGGAATTGAAATTTTAAAGTTGGAGAAGTGAAACACTTCTATGCTATATATTCTGAAATAAATACACAAACTTTAGTCAAAGGAAAAAATGGGTCCCTGAACTCTGTTTGGAGCTAAACATCTACCAGGAGAGTTACTGTTTCACTGTTGCGGGATCACCACCATAACTTCTCGTTTAGCATTTTATCTTTAAACAGTGTTCCAGGGATCTAATTTTCCTCTGAGGACAGTTTGTGTATGGAATTGTGAACATTTACCACAGAATCTGTACACTTCTCCAACTTTCACATTTATCTACCAAAACTCAAAGGTGCACCTTTACCTTGACCCTTAACGTTTTCCCAGTTCTCTGTGGTTGTGGTCATGCAGATTGTCTAGTTTTTAAGACGAGGGATCTCCCTTCTGTCTTCCACACACACATCTTATCATCTGATATCTAGTCTGTTTTTTCATTCAGCTTGTCCCTTTACATTTTGCTTTAGAGCTGTAGCGAGTAATGGATTCCAGCTTTGGGGGGGTAATTGAAATACTTAACATAATCCAGAAATCAGAGGTAATATTTCCATCACTTAAGTGCTTGTAGCTTTATATTTGTGCTTCAACAGTTACTGCCAGGATTTTATTCCTCACTTCATGATGCTTGATGTATTACAATAATCGAATCTGATAAACACTTGCGTCATCAAATTCAATTTTTACAACATCATTTTACAAACAAAGCTGTGCCAAGTGTCTTCAGTCATTTGAAGAAACATCAATGGATGGGAAAGGGCAGATTGTGCTGGATCTTAAATTATCATAAATGAATAAAACGGGTCTGCCAGTCAAACGTAATTGGCAGGTAACTACCTGAGATATCTTTTGATCTGATTCTATCAGCCAGAACGCTGACAGGCACTGTGAGGAGTGTTGGTCTTATTTTCTCGCTTCCTCTCAGATTAAAGATTCATTTATGTTACATCATTTGTTAGAAAGTAAATTCTCGAGCTTACTATGCCTAACTGGCATTGATTTTTTTATAAGCCTCCAGTCATTAAAAATGGGATGCATTTGTTGTTTTTAAGGATATGTCTCTATCTGAAGTCTTGATTAATAATGAAGTTCATTTTCCTCTTCTCGTTTTGTTATCATCCACATTCTGCAGCATATTCACAAACAGCGATTCTTTCCAAGTGTGGAGGTAAAGTAAGTTCAGCACTAATAAGAAGTGCAAGGTGCATATAAACAGCAGAAAAAGTGAATCATTCATGTGTCCTTAGAAAGGATAAGAGCCTAATTATGAAGAAGTGCAAGGTGCAGAAGTAAGAGCCTTTTTGTGTCTTTATTATCATCCTCAGCTATAGTGTGCTGCTGCAGCGACTGCCAGCCTCGCTGTGACTCATGGTTGTTTAGTACAGTAGTAGAGAAGCCTTAGGATAGCACATTGCTGACTTGTCCACTTGAAATCCCCCACAGACGTCCCCCCACCCCAGGCGAGGCCAGATTAAGACACCAGTGCGAGAGACGAGCTAATCCTTCAGCACTCCCCACACCATCCTGCTTGTTGGGCTATGAGACTGCCTGTTCCCCGTCTGCTTCCTCTGCAATTAGCTGATTTCTATCGTCACATACAACTACACGTGCACATTCACACACACACACACACACACACTCGCAGCAATTAGCTCATCACGAGGCTTATTCGCTCGCCAGCCGCTCGCTGTCACTGTCACTTTTGCTAAGTTGGAATCTACACCGACTCATCCTCCTCATTGCTCTCCCTCTCTCGACCCCCATTTCCTTTCAATTAGCCGAGCTGCCAGCAGGATCTTTTTCTTGGATTAAGTTATCCAGAGTCTATCCAACCGCCACTGCTCTGCATTTAAAGTTATCTCAGCTCCGTTTAGTCGCAGCCTTTTTGAAGACAATGTTCTCAGGTAGAGTGGAGACCATGACACTGCTCTTCCTCTCAAAAGCTGTCTGAACAGTTTCCTGTAAGCCGTTTGTAGGTAAATACACTCAATGTGTTGACAAGTCCTTAGTACGAGTTTATCTATATTTTGAGGTATGTGCTTTTTAAATGTAGTTATGGAGCGGTACAGTGAAAGCAGATGGTGAAGTACCTTCTCATAGTACTTGATGTCGTACTCCAGAATCACTCCGTTTGGCTGGTGGGGTTCATGCCACATCAGAATCACACTGTCTTGACTGGTGTTCTCCTGACGGATCGCCATGACCTCCGAGGGAGCTGCACAAGAAACAGGAGAGATTACTGCTTTGTCAGCTCAAAATGTGTTGATGAATAAACTCCACATGTAAGAGAGTCAGTCATGTTAACACTTCATGAAACGTGGTGTTGATAGCTACATCTGCTGGAGCAGACTTCATGCCGTCTCTGAAAAGATGTGAACATTCTGACAGACGAGATAGCCATGTGGTTACAATCCAGACAAACCTAGCCTCAATCGTCCAGGCAGCATTTGTTTTCAGTGCATTCAGATGATAACAAATGATCATTCACGATTGCAGTTAATATTTGGTTACAGCGAGGCAGAAGAAATGTTTCAGTTTGAGAAAAGATTTAGGTTATGGACGAACCACTTCCTCCAAGACTTTCGCTTGCTATCTTAACATCAGGACACCAAATACAAAATCTGCATAGCCACAAGTTCATTCACCCTTTAGCATTCTTTCTCTCCCCTAGTGATTTCTCTGCAGAAATTGTGACTATCTGAGGACCATTTTCAAGAAAAAGAGAGAGAACGTCCACTGATCAATCACAGATGGTATTGTTCTCGAGAAAGGATAATAAGATAACCACACCAGATGCAATTTAAGTCCTTCCAGATTTACTTATATACGTATATATATATTTGAATTCGGCCTTTGAACACCAAAATCTGATTAGTTCATCTTTTAATCCATGAAGTTTGTGCCAGATTTTGAGGGTATTCCCTCCAGGTGTTCCTGTGATTTCACTTTCAAAAAAATAGGACAGAATAATGGACAGGAAAGTGATTTTCCAAGACGTTATTAAATTGAAATGACGTTGACCTCTGATAGAAAATGCCATCAAGTCATGATTTCATCCCACGAGATGATGACAAAGTGACAAAGTCAGAACATCTTATCTTGATTAATGATAAAAACCCACCACGAGTCCTTCCATTTGAATAACTTTCTAAAGGGGTTCCTCAGACATCAGACTCAAAAGAATGGAAGGTACAGACAGCTCACCTGAAATAAACACAATGCCTGCAGCCAGAGTTGTCCCTGTGTGCCTAAAAAATGAAACACAGGCTTCTTGAACACTAGTAGAGGAACCCTTTGTGACTGATACACAGAGCAGTGTACAAAATACAGAGCTCAGCTACAGTTTCTGTTCTGTAGGATGATGACCACATTGATCTCTTGTCAGTGCAACATGTTTAGTTTTATTCATCAGAATGACCACTGACATCTCTCCAGTTCTACTCTATTGTTTATTTGGCTCGATCACGGTGGTTGGACTTTGATGGCAGACCACATTAGGAGGCACTTTCGTTTGCTCTTTTAACACCACAACCTCAAATTCAGACACTAGTCCAGTGGATTTAAACCACTGGAAACTTTTCTACATTAAAATAAATGAGTGCTGGCTGCAGGAAGGACAGATGAAAAAAATTGAAATCGTCTTTTCAACATTTGACAGCATATTTATATATCATACATCATTTATATTTGATTTCAGGTATGACTTAATAGAGTCAAACAACCAATGGCAGATCACTCTGCATATCCGGTCCCTATTGTTTTAGTTTTTTAGGGACAGTATGGAGAGAAAAGTCTCAGAGCTGGACGCAAGTTCTGTTTGCTGACAATTGCAACTTCTCTAGCAAGTCCTTATGGAAGCAAAGCTTTTGTGCACCAACCTGTTTTCCATAATCAGCAGACATTTCATTGAGACAGCACATTTCTTTCAAAGTTACATGTTTTGACACCTTTGCTAAATATGACAGTAAGAGTGAGAAAGCGCTGTGGTCGGTTTCAGAGTTGAAATGAGGCGGCTGCAAGTCAGCCACCAAAAAAAATTATATTTCAAATGTATTTTTATTTTGGATAACTCAGGTTAACGGTAACAAGCAGAAATCTTGAGCAGAACCAGACTCATGTTGAACAGCCATCTACTGCAACTGTGAAGGGCTTGATTCAGCAGAGCAATAACATAAACAATTAAAATTGTGAAAGTTTATAGTATAAGCTTAAACAACAAAGTATGATAGTAGTCCGATCACTCTAATATTAACATTAGAACCTTTGCAGACAATAATAATAATTAAATCAGTAGCTTATAGCATACAGATCGATCCAATTTTTTAATTGGACGGCATATGATTAGACTGCTTTAAAATACCTGTTGGGTCTAACCAGGTAAATTCTTGATACGTAGAATTATCCCATCATGCCTTGTTTTCCATGATGCCTTATGCAGGATAACAAAGTCTATTCACCTGGTTGAATATAGTTTACACATAGGTACTTATATTTTGTGATGTTAATGTCATGCTTCAGAGGATGTTGTTTTATGCAGATAAATCTCAGTTTGTGTGACTCTGTTGTTTCCCATGATGACTGCAGATGTCCTTGCAGTTGACATAAAAGCATACGTTGGCTCTAAACGCCATGAAGTGTAGCAAGATTAAAATAAAACAAAAATGTTGAGCCATCATTTTAGATACCTCAATATGAGACATGTACACACATAAAACCTTAAATAACCATGATGGCCAGGTACTGATAAATTCTAATGAAATCTTTAAGATAGTAAGAACTTTTGATTTTAAACGACGCTCGGGGAGGACCTCTTGCGGCCCGCCTTGCAGTAACCTCGAGGCCCACCAGGGGGCCACAGCCCAAGCTTTAAGAAGTTCTGCTCTACTGTGTTTTACAAACATGAATTCAGTGGAAATGTTTCACTCTTCAACATTATCATTCTGATATTCTGTTGAGCCTGACAAGAATAAAATAAGGCCCTTGTAATGAATCTCTTCTGAACACCGGTTTCATTACTTGTAAGGAATATTCTCAGAGCCGGAGGTCTGCGATTGGAGTAGTAAACCAGACGAGACAACTGGTGCTACGCTTGGCCTGAAAACCACTGCATGATACTGTATGTCTGACAATGATGCTATGAGAGCATGACAGTGACGCTGCAGCCAAGAAGCAAAACAATGAGCTGAAACTCTTCACAGAGCTCCATAAAGCTGAGGACAGCTGTACCTAGGTGAACAAATGTCTGTAGGCTCATCACTTTGAGAGACCTCTTTCACATCGTCACAACATAAAAAAAAAAAAAAAAAATGGTACAGCTTCTTTTTGCTTTCACTAGAAGTGTAACACCTAGAACTGTACAAACAGTCTTCAGTTAGAAATGGACATGTGATAAAAGGTAAATTGTTTAATTGCAATTTAAGAGCCAGAATAAATCCAGTTTACCAAAGCACACTTTCTTAATAGTGATTAGCTGTCCTGTTTTACTGATGCCATCTTAAAACAAAATGTTTGTTGTTTTTTTAGAATCTTTTTGGGGCTATTATTTGCATTCATTTAATAGGACAGCCGAAGAGAGACAGGAAATGTTGGGAGGAGAGAGTTGGGGTTGATATGTAGCAGAGGGTGAGTTCGGATTCTTACCCACAGCCGCTGGGACGAGGACTATAGCCTCTGCAAATGGCGCGCGTGACAGAACCGCTAGGCTATCTGGCGCCCCTGTTGTTTTTGAGTTTGTTTATTTCTGTGTTTCCTTAGTAGACATAAAAGTAAAGAGGAACTTGTGGATATATATTGGCTTTTTTTTTGGAGCATATACAGTAGCCAAAAGCGATAGACATGAAAACAAGATTTCTTCATGAAAAAAAATGTGTTGTCATTGTTTGGCTAGAAACTTGTGTTAAGGTGACAATCGTTCAACCCATTTGAATTGAAGTAGTAAACAGATATTCTGATTTAAAAGGAAAATTCAGTTTTTCTGGTAAAAACTGCTTACGTATGCAATGCAGCACAGCCTTCAAGATGAGTAATTGTCCATCACTGTTCTGAACCCTACCTGCCTGGTTTGTTGTGATGTTGGCCACGGCGTAAAGCGACGGCTCATTGCTCAGGTGTGTCACCGCGTTCATGGCCAGGATACGGAAGGAGTAGTTGGTGTGAGCCACCAGATTGAGCACCGTCACCCACGGCTCTGTCAGGCCTGTCTGCCGGGGAACGAATCGAACAGCTGCAGTTCCTGTACGCTCCACCAATCCTCCTCCACCTCCTCCTCCTCCTCCTCCCCCGACCCCTATACTCGCTCCAGTTTTCCCCCCACCGGAGCCTCCGGGGTAGGATGAGCAGTCCTCGCAGAGCCCTCCTTCCCCTGAGCATTTCTGACACAACACGCCGTACTGCAGGTCGCTGCGACCGCCGGTATCCAGAGGGCGATCCCACTCTAGATTTACAGACGTCCCATTGACTGAGGAGATGACGCTGACTGGAGCAGATGGAGGGCCTGGAGAACAGAAAGACGGAGGTTTCGGTTCATTCACACGTTTGATCGCTGTCGGGAAAAAAGTAAATTGCATTTCTTAAGGCACAGATAGCTTTTGCACAACGTTCCATAGCTGCTGTATGTTATCGGTGTATGCGAATGACTTTGAACTACTTGGAGATGTTCCTGCCTGAGGGATTAGTTGATCTTGTGTACCGTGTGTTTGCGCTTACGGGAGCAAGGAGCTGCTGCTGGGTCATCCGCTGCTCGATAGTAGTTGGAGTCGCAGGGGCAGGAGAGGGCAGCTCTGGTCTCTGAGTGGCTGTGTTGAGGACATTTACCACACAGGCCGTCTCCCGCCACCGGTTTATAGAAGCCCACCTCACATGCTGCACAGAGAGAGAGAGAGAGAGAGGGGGGGGGGGAGATAATAAATAGAGTAAATAGAGAACTTGTGAGAAAGGGCTCTGCACTGCCATAATCACTGAGGCCATGATAAAAATGAGAGCGTGCAGCCAGAGAGGCATGAATCACACTCCTATAGCAAGCTGTGCATATTATCACTGCTTCAACTTTTTTTAAACTGTGTCATCTTCTCCAAAGCATTCATTTTAGGACATGTCCCCCCCCCTCTCCTCCTCTTGCCCCCCTCCTCCAAATCTATGTATAATTACAGGCCTTGTAGCCGTAGAGACCATGGAGCAGGGGAGATGAAAGTCATACTTCTTTCTGCTCAGATTTGGGCTGAAAAGGCTCTGCACTGTTGATACTCCCAGTGGGACTCTCCGAATCCAGACCCTGTTTCAACCTTATTCAACTCCTCTGATACATATTCACTTTTAACTCTGCACTGATTAATAATGGAGGGAGCTCTGATAAATATATTCTCTTTCCGAGCAGTTAATAGGCTGCTGCTATGTTAAATGGGGCAGGGGTAAACCTCGCACACACTCGTATGAAGAGCAGCAGCAAGACACAGCTTGTGCTCTTCCTTGCAGGGTAATTTATGTTTCTGTAGAATGCTGAGTGTTAGTTTACAGATGTTCTGTTTTTCCAGCCTTTCTTTTTTAAGTTGATAGAAGACCGTTTGAGGTGCTTAGACTTCAAAGGGGCTGAAAGGAGCATGGAATTGGATAACCAACACGGGTGAAATGCTCACAAAGAAACATTTAGGATGTACTCTGGATTAGCGGCTGAGACATTTTTAGATGCGATTGAAAAGGAATAAAAACCTTCCTTAGCTTGTACCTGAAAAGTACACGTGAAAACGTTTACGACGGTTTGACAAAAACACACAAAGACACACACACACACACACACTGGATGCGCAATTCAACCATGTGATTAGAGTTTATGACATCCTGAATTGGCTTAATTCATAAGCCGCCTTTTTATTTTCAGACTACCCGAAAGGAACTCTTTTTTTCTTAATTGTCATGTGACTATTACCTCATAAAGTGTGTTTATGTTCACACAATCCTTGAAAGATCTTCTGAATGGAAAAGTTTTATCTTAATCAACCGGCACAAAAAGCCCTCGTTGGCTTCTGTTAGGTGAGCGTGTTTCTTTTGTAAATGTCCGATGATGAAATCGTGAAACAGACTGTGGATTATCTTAGATTCATTCGGCCGAGGTCAGACAACAGCAACAGAGTGTGAATAGCTGAGAAACTTTTTATGTTAAGGAGTCTTGCTTATATTCTATTTACAGCCTACAAATTCCTTTCTATTTGGGAATGCTTCTAAAAAGACTAAAAAAACATAAATCAACAAAATTTCTCGAAAAGGGAACAATACACCAAGATAACGCGGCTGGCGAGCGATTTACTCTTGCATGTACACGCCTCAATCGGACCCAAACTGAACAAGGTGTTCTGCACATGCACCAGAGTGTCTGCACTGGGCTTTAAACTTTTTTTTTTTGTTTTTGTTTTACTAAAATACATTCTTTTAACCTCCGCAAACAAAAAGATAGATCAATAAGTGGCTCTTACAGATAACTGTAAGAAAAGCTAATGGGTGGAGATGCTGGAAACCACAACAGAAAAACTTGGAGAGAGCAGCCCTTCTCCGTGTGCTGCTCTCTCTTCTTCAGATGATGTTGGTTTTCAGTAATTCATCTTTTTATTCAAACTGTATCAAGTGTAATTCATAGTGACTTTGAGCTTGTGACTTATATATTAGCATCTTAAACTCAGTGCAGACCTGAAGTGATTTCAGAATGAGGACAAACTGGGAAACGTGGAGTCGAGCAGGGTGAGCCAGTCGATACAAGGTGAGGAAGCAGCTTGCAGAAAAGGATTAGCAGCTTAGATTTCCTCCACTGTGTTTACCAAAGAATGGATATACAGACGTCGAGATGACATGCCTACTATTCTAGAGGGACTAGCCGTGTTTGCATTGCACACTTGGACAAAGACAATGTCAAGACTTTTACACAGAAGTCCATCTGCTAGAAAGAGGAAACCCGATTGTGCAGTTCAAACAACGAAATCTTACATGGCACTTCCCAAGATGATCATTTTTACATTGCTGAAATTATTAACGTCGTCTTCAAATGTTACTTTTTTATAATGGTAGATGCTATTCTGTATTTCATCCAGCTATCATATCATCATACCACATGCTTAACGTTTAGTATCTGCTCATGTGTTCATCTTTAACCACATCCATCACCAGGAAATTAAGCCGCTGCTATTTATATGTCACAAAGCTGAAGCTTTCCTGCTGTAACACCGGAGAATGGACTTGCAAAATATGCTACACAAAACATAAAACAACCCACACATGAGAGCCAAAAAGAAACTATTCCTATTTGCAATATTTATCCCGACTGTTTTCTCTCCCTCCTTTTTATCCCGTTAATACCTCCATCTCTTGATGTTTCTTGTGATGCCCCCCGAGTTGAAAAGCAGGTCACGATAAACATCAGGACAGCTCGTTCATCGAGGAGAGAGGCAGTGAGCGCTTTGATGAAACTGACAGATTCACACACACACACACACGTACACAACATGCAAAGGTTATGATAATGTAAAAAAAAAAAACAACAACGCACACATGGGATGTCTGATGCAGCCACAGTAACCACAAGCAACATCACAACACACACACAGGTAAGAATGCAAAGAGAAGGCTGTCCGTGTTGGGAGCAGCTGATAGCCTTTCACTTCACTAAAAATAAGATGATAGGGAAAAATGATGTTGCTACACAAGGAAGTCAATCACAGCCAGCATTTTTTAATTTATTTCAACACATAAAATGAATTCTTCTTTTTCATTTTACACATAAACATCAGTTTAGGCATCACCCACGGTGGTACCAAGCTAGGAAAACAGTTATAAATGTCTTCTGCAGCCTAAGTGAAGAAATATGATAAAATAAAGTCATGAGTGGCATTTTTTGGAGATGTAGGATCCAGGCAATGTGAGACAGGAGCTTATGAGTGGCTTTGATTCGTTTTTTAAGACACATTTCATGACACAGATATTCATCAACTCAATGATAGCTTTGGCCTTACAAGGTTTCGGGCTGATTGATGAAAGGTTGAACCACTTTCAACCTCTGGAATGCTGATTTTTACACGTTTGACATCCTGGCCATGAAAGATGTAAAGCCACTGAGTAATGATGTGCCGTCATGCCATTTAGATTCAAGCTGGAAAAATGTCTATTTGCTTTTATTGCAAATGTGATTTACAGAGCTGTAACAATGAGAGATCCTGCATTTTTGCAACAACTTTTGTTTGACATCCTGGCCATGAAAGATGTAAAGCCACTTTTATTGCAAATGTGATTTACAGAGCTGTAACAATGAGAGATCCTGCATTTTTGCAACAACTTTTGTAATGATTTGTAGAGTGGCCTTGTGTCAAACTGTTGTTTGGAGTTCTAGTTTAAGAAGGTGCATCACAGGCATGATTCAAACTAGAAATGTTGTTGTGTTTTGTATAGCGAGGCATTAAATAGGTGACCAATGTTACATTTGTGCTCCATGGAACTTATTTAAAGGAGCAATATGTAAGAAAAACTGCATGTTACAAATTTTCGTGTAGCAGTTAAATATATAACTCTGGAGTGCTGTCCTAATTGTTTTTCTAGTTCAATCATTTTTCAGGATTCAGCACCAAGTTGTTTTGCGTTGAAAGGGATTTGAGCATGTTTTTGTCTATCACTTTTTTAAAGGAGCAATATGCAAGATATCTCCTGGATTAAATCAGACATTAAGGAAACATGCCGTGTTAAAGTGCTGGCTTCTCCGACAACAACGAAGTAGAGAGTATGTCCTCCTTCCAAGTTTAGATTCTGGTGCAAAGTAGTTTGTATTTGTTTGGACTAGAAAAGTGGGCGGCACCCCCTAACAGCCGTTTTGGACGCTCCTCAATTTACCTGGCAAACTGGAAACCAACTGGTGTTGCAGCGATGGAAGCGGGCAAGCAAACTAGTTTAAGATATAACTGATTTTATCCGACCTAAAAAGCATCTGCATGGGGCTCCATGACCAGAAAAGTGGTCAAACTAGGATAAATATTGAAGATGCTTTTGAAAAATGTACAGAAGCTAGAGCGCGGAAAGGGTTCAAGACCAATGTAGAGCTGGCTAAACACTGAAGCTTCAGTGTCCGGGGACATGGCAACCTGCGTGCACATCGTCTCGAGAGCTCTCTCAAATGTTTTGAATGTGGACTGCAGTACCTATTTTAAACATTAGGTGTCAGAGTTACATAATGCTCCTTTAATTGATCCGGAGGTTTTTCCATTTGTTACACTGATGTTGAGAAGTAATGGTGGACAAAAAAAGTTACAACATGCTTGAGAAAATCTAAACAACAAACATCCCCTTCAGTAAAACGAATGGCCGATGTTCCTTTTGTGTTTAATATTGAGCAAACATTATGAATTTATTCAGAAATAAGCATTTTATAATTTCTTACATGTTGGGGATACAGGGTGGAACGTTTGTCAATTTCACCGTCACAGCTTTCCAGTGTCCTATTGTTAAAGCTGTCATTGGTGTTTTGAAGTTTTTACCCTGAGAGGTCGGCCTTTATGACGGAAATTTGATTAGGTTAATTATCTTACCACTCAAACATCTTTACACTTCATGCCAACATTCACCCAGACACACAAATTCATAGTGTGATGGCGTTTTCATGGCGCCAACCTGCTCAACTGAATCGTATATATAGTAGCACACACCCTCACACTGATATCTAATCATTAGGGTGAAAATTTGAGCTTTAGTATCTCGTTCAACCATGGTACAAAAAATAAAATTCTCTTGAGAAACATATAACAGCTAAATAGTAAAAAAAATAAAACAATATGATAACTCTACTTGTAAAAACTATTTTTTTCTGATTATTTATCCCATTTTACAGGGTAACCATT